CCAGGTTGCTCCAAGCCCCCTCCAACCTGGCCTTGAACCCCTCCAGGGATGGGGCAGCCACAGCTTCTTGGGGCAACCTGGGCCAGGCTCTCATCACCCTCAGAGTAAAAAATTTCTTCCTGAGATCTCATCTCAATCTCCCCTCTTCCAGTTTAAAACCCTTCCCCCTCCTCCTAGGGCTCCCTTCCCTGATCCAGAGTCCCTCCCCATCTCTCCTGGACCCTATTTAGGGACTGGAAGGGGCTCCAAGGTCTCCCCGGAGCCTTCTCTTCTCCAGGCTGAACCCCCCCAACTCTCTCAGCCCCCCCTCCCAGCAGAGGGGCTCCAGCCCTCCCAGCATCTCCGGGGCCTCCTCCGGCCCTGCTCCAACAGGTCCATGTCCTTCCTGTGCTGAGCAGGGAGAGATATGTCCCTCAGACCTGGCAGGTGGCCGAGTCCTGTTCTCACCTCATGGCATGTCTTCCTTATTAAGCTGCTGTTGTTGACCTGCCTTTTCCTGTCGTCCACCTCCCACTGCTCCTGGTGTGGCAGAAGGAGAGCACAAGCCCTGTAGAAACATCACAACCATTCGGGGGATGGACCCACTTCTGTTCCCTCTTCACCTCTTCAGGCAGCAGGAAACATCAAGGCCACTGTGTTGTGCATCTGTGATACTGAGAACGTGCCACTTCAAAACCAAGAAAATCAACAGCTACTGTTTTGTTTCAAGGTGTTTCACATCTTCGCCACGTAACGTAACAAGTGCAGATGTTGCTGTTAATTTACCAAAAGTCTGAGTGTAGTTAAACATTTCTAAAATATTTTTGTGGGCTGTGTAGGCTTTATGAATGAATCTTCTGCATTAAAAGATGCGCGACAACAGATTGCTGCCTGAACAGCCAAAGAAACTTATTTTGTAGATCTCTTGGGATGCTGAGCTCCCAGCTTTAGAGGCATAAACTCCCAAAAAAATAATATTATCTGTTAAGAGCCTTACCTTAGAGAGACCTAAGGGCAGGTGCTGCTGGAGGACCTCGTGGTGAGGGCAGACCTGCATGTTGGGCTGGATCCAGGTGTTTTTGGGCTGCACCCCGATGGGGCTTTTATCCTGGGGCTCAGTTGGACTCGAACTGCTCTGGAGCCACATTTGGCTGCTCTTGGGTTTTGCTTATCCTGAGTTAGGCATCTTTTAGAACTTTGCTGAAGTAGGACTGTGGAGATGCCTCCAAAATGCTGCTGTTAAATTTAAAACGCAGAGAGGAATGTTTTGATAGGAGGTACTGGTTTTACACTTATGTTACTGGGCATCGCTGTGATCTTCTGTGAAGTTTCTTGCCCCAGCCTGGTAGTGGAGTTGTCTATTGGAAAACTGATTTATTTCCTGTTATTTCAGGTCTGGTTTAGTGTCTTTTTCCCCCTCTGCCTAAGGGACTCCATTAATTTCTAGCTCTCTTACCAACCTCAGCTGTCTCTTTCCTTACTTATTTCCACCTTCTGTCATCTTTGAATGATGCAGTTGAGAAGAATTCATCATCCGGAGGCTGCGCTGGGTTTTGGGGTCGAAAAGGGAGAGTGGGAAGAGGCTGCAGTTGGTCAGAGATCGTAACCCACAAATCCGGGCAAAAAATGGATGAGTATTTCCCTTCTGATCACGATATTTTGTACCCTGTCTGTGTTTCTTGGAGTCATACATGGCACCATCCCTTTATCTCTAAGCACCGTGTGACTAATTGTGAAGATGTGTTTGTGATTAGAACGGTTGTTTAATTTCTTGATACTGCCAGATAAAGAACCTTTTTGCCTAAAACAAATGCTGTCACACCCTCGCAGGGGAAACCTGGGGTGGGGACACTTTATTGCATCCAGCGCAAAGCGGTCCAGCGAAGATACCTTTCAGTAATGTATCTGGTCTGTAATAGCTATTTGCATAAATTATTCAGAACAAGTTGCGAAGTTATCAGCGAAGCCGCACATTTAAAGCTGTCAGCCTTTCTAATGAAGGCATCTTGTTGGAGAGCTGTTTTTTAACCAGCTGGTTAACAAGGAAGGAGCCTGTTTTTTTTAATTCCAGGTAGCAGAAATCCTCAGCAGTTGTTTTGATTAGTTCACTTGTGTAGGTGGGTCACCCGAGTCCTGCGTTATTGTGTTTAGTGTTGTGTTTTATTTCATGACCTTAACGACACAAAGTGGAAACGGAGACACTGTCAAACTACTGGGACCCCCCCCGCCCCGAAACCTTGTGTGAAAACTCTCTTGGATGCGTGAATCTGATTGTAGTGACATAGCTAAGTTTCCAGGGATCAAACTGCTGCTTGTCTGAAGGTTAGTGTTCAAGTTAAAGCCTCGACTGGCAAAATTTCCACTCTTATCCTTTATTGATACGCGCAGATTTTACTGACAAATCTGTGTGCTTGTTGTTTCTATGGCGTGTGTTCTTCTCCGCGGGAGAGATGGGGAGCACCAGGCCAACATCACCTGCTCTGTTTCATCAGTTCATTCCTTTCTCAAAGGAGAACTTACTACCCCACTGGTGTCACTGCTTGCTGCCTGGGCCACGGTAACTCCACGGTTACCTTCCAGCCTGCTAAAATAGGGAAAGGAAAACTGTTTAACCAGCACATCTGCAGCTGTGACTTAGCCAGAAAGTGGCAGCTTAAACACAAAAGATTTCCCTTTTCATTCATTCTTACAAGCGAAATTGTATTTATTTATCTTGAATGCGACGATAACTTTAGACTTAGGATAGTCTGTGCGTAACTCCTGGAGCTCTTTGCCTGCAAATGCTGGCTTGGGGTTTGTGACGCAGGGAACTTCTGCTGCTTTTGAAACCTGGAGAAGGAGAGTTAAGGCTGAACTTCCTTGGTGGGGAGGAATGCAAGAATTTGGTTAAGAGCATGTAGATGGAAACATTCCTAGCTTTAACGTGTTGGTTAAATCTTAGTACAGAGTCACGAGGGAGGCTGGGTGTTACCTCTTCTCCCGGGATCAGCACAGTCTGGGGGTACCTGTAGCCTCAGCACCTGCTAGAAACAAACAGCAAAGTTCCTGGCATTTTAAAAAATGGCATTAAAAAAAATTAATTGCTGGGCTTGCTTGTCAAACCTCATAATTCTAGTTGCTTTGATGGGTACGTATCACAAAACTCTTGAATTCTGTCTTGTTCCCCAATAACACTGCCCACTGAACCAGAAGTCAACATCGATGTGTATTTTTAATGTTCAACAGCTAGAGTGTTTCAAGCAAGGAATCAACCTGGTGCTATTCTTATATTTAATGTCTTCATATTAGTTAAAAATATTTTAGTGAGAAAGCAGGGCTTTCAAGTTAAATTCATCAGTTTTTTTGGAGTACACACCTTAAGCAGTGGGAAATTTTTCTAACTGGAATGAGTTAAAGCAGTTTCATCGTGATGTTCCTCCTGGGCCAATTTCCACTGTTAGAGAGTGTAGTTAATCATTATGCAGTAACTTGTGGAGCGAACTTGTCTTTAAATATATACCGTGAGCGTTCCAGATCCTGCGTAAGGCAGAATTTCCTTCATGTGAGGGATCTGCTCTGCTGCCCATGGCCCCTCTGGAATTGCGCAAACTCTCCTCTCTACCCGCCCCCATCTGAATGAGAAATGTGACTCCTGTTCCGGTACAATGCAAATTTCCATTTGAACCCCAGCCCGACTTGCCCAGAGCAAACACAGTTCTGAAAACTACTCTGTATGTGTTTCTGGAAATCAGCTGGGGATCTTACACACCCCTTACCAGAACTGGAATCCTTTTCTTGCTGCTAGAATGCACACAGCACTGAAACACCAGGGCTTTTCTTCCCAAGAAAGTCTGGAGAAGGGCAGCCTAAAGGATTAATTGTATTGATTTTGCTCTAAACAGTTTTGGCAAGATCCTTATCGTTGCCTCTGTTTCTGTGATTTAGCTGCACTGGATGAGGAGAGGAGTGGTGCCCAACGCCAGGCACACTGTCATGACCAGCCCCATCTTGCTCTCCATCCCTATCCCCAAATTGTAGAATGGTTCGGGTTGGAAGAGACCTTGAAGACCATCCAGTTCCCTCCCCCTGCCCTGGGCTGGGACACCTCCCACCAGAGCAGGTTGCTCCAAGCCCCCTCCAACCTGCCCTTGAACCCCTCCAGGGATGGGGCAGCCACAGCTTCTTGGGGCAACCTGGACCAGGCTCTCACCACCCTCACACCAAACAAGTTCTTCGCCACATCTCAGCTCCATCTCCCCTCTTTCAGGGTCAAACCCTTCCCCGTTGTCCTGTGGCTCCCCTCCCTCATCCAGAGTCCCTCCCCAGCTTTCCTGGAGCCCCTTGAGGGACTGGAAGGGGCTCTAAGGTCTCTCTGGAACCTTCTCTTCTCCAGAGAATGTAGCCCATGCTCTGGTTTTAAACCCGCAGGGCTCAGCTGCCAGCAAGGCAGAAGACTTTCTGCAAGGTGCAATGTGAGCTGGATGAACCCTTCCTGCAAATAGCAGGATAAGAACTAGGATCTCTCTTCCACTTTGTGGCCTGCTATCGAGAGAGCTGAATTATTCCATCAAACTCGTAGTTGGAAATTGTTGGAGACTGAGTCAAAGAACCAACCTTTTGCCAAGAACGTTGCCTCTGACAACATTAGAGCAAAGTATCAAAAAAACCCCAAAAAAATCTGCTGGGTGGCTTGCTCAAGGTGACCCGCTCTCCTTCTGCAGGACACGAGGAGGGCTGTGGGAGGTGGCACAACTGGCCTGGCTTCTTCCTCACCCCTCTTCATCCTCTGGTCAGTTCCTCCTACCTGGAGGAGCAGGCAGGGACATCTCTTCAGCTGGAGGAAGCCAAACCAGGTTATTTGTATCATAAGAAATCAAATTATAGTAGCCTCGTTTTGCAAATATTCTTAAGTGTGAGAAATCATATAAATAAATGGGGGGTATTATTGTATTATTGCTGAAGTTTAAGTTGTGAAGGTTTTTAGAAGAAAGCCATTTCCTTCCAAATATCTGACCGTTTGCTTCGTTTGTTTGTTTTCACAGATCCAGCCCTATGAGAAGATAAAGGCCCGGGGGCTGCCCGATAACATCGCTTCTGTCTTGAACAAGCTGGTGGTGGTGAAGCTCAATGGTGGCTTGGGCACAAGCATGGGCTGTAAAGGCCCCAAAAGCCTTATTGGGGTGCGGAACGAGAACACCTTCTTGGATCTGACAGTTCAGCAGATTGAGGTAAACCTTCTGATGGGCTTTTCTTCCTGCTTTGGAGGAAGCAAGACACGCTGAGCTTCTCCTGTAAGACCTCGTTAAAAGAGATCCCAGGGGAGGCTTCCCAAAAGAACGAGGGAGATAAGGGCTAGTGGAAGGGACAGGCAGGAAAGTGATGGAGCTCTGTCTGCTCCACAGCTGTTAGGGACCAAGTGTCCTTCAGACCGTAGGGATCGTGTCCAGGAACTCCAGCAATCAAATCGTGGAGCTGGCCTGGCTGGCTAACTCCTGGCTTGGGTCCCTCTCCTCCAGGTGCAAGTTTGAAGTTTAGCTTTTTCAAGCTTTTTATTTTTTTTAAGAACAAAACTCTTCACAGCAGCTCTGACTTCCTTGTTGAATTAAAACTTTCATGCTGGACACGATCGCTGGCATTTTCCTCTGAGGAAAGAAAAGTAACAGAAAATAACAGCTGCTGGCGCCGAGAGAGGACATTTCAGCTTTATGTTTTTAAGGCAGAATATTCCTCTTGCAGCAGATAATTGGAGAAGGTCATTAGAGGAGGACATTGGGTGTGCCTGTTCCATAGTTTCTGGAGTTCTGACAATTTTTGCCTCCGTGGTGTTTGCTCGGGGTGACTCTTCTTGTGCACGTCAGCTCTAGAGCAGACTTAAAATTTATACCCAACTAATGCTCTCCTCATCCGGGGGCGTTGTGGGAGCTTTCTCCAAAGAGTCTCCAACACCAGGGGTTAATGATCCCAAACGCTCCCCAGTGGACGAGGACAATCTGATGCACAAAGCTTAAAACTCAACCTTAAGTATCAATTTTTTTGCACGCTCTTTGTTTTTGGTGGAACGCTGTCAGGTTTTCTGGTTTTTTGCCTTTGCTGTGATGTGCACATGGAAATGCTCCTGTGTATTTCAGCTCTGGTCCATAGATTCCCAAATCATTCTCATGGTGACACTTCATCCACTCTGTACCCTTGATGCTGTTGTCTGTCTCACAGCCTGCCCGGGAGGCTCCCGGAGTGCTTCCTCTGCAGAGAAGATTCTGAAACTTCACCCTGACAGACTTGAATAATTTGAGGACAAACATGCCTTTTGGAAGCAACAGTAGCCTAAAATTTGAAATAGTCATTTTGTGCTGTTGTGCTTTTCAAATTTCAAATCTTGATGCAGATTTAAAAACAAAGATAAATTCTACAATAATTAATGTGGGCCTTATCTTTACTACTTACAAGGATTTGCTTTCCTTTACATGATTTATTATTCTTCCTGTCACCATAAGCGCATCTCTCACCTCACGCATTTATTATTTCCAGACAGTTTATCCAATTTCTTTCTACCCAAATCTTATCCAAAACTTAGGAGTTAAAGCTAATAACACATGCTGAATGTACCATTTTTTTTTCCCATCTCAGCATTTAAACAAATCCTACAACACTGACGTTCCTCTGGTTCTCATGAATTCCTTCAACACCGATGACGACACTAAGAAAATCCTGCAGAAATACAGTCACAGCCGTGTGAAGATATATACTTTTAATCAAAGCAGGTATCAAAAAACCCCAAACTTCTCTGCTTGGGGTGAAGGGAAAAACTCGCCTGCGTTTCTCCATGTTCCAGATGGTTTGAGGTGCTGAGGTGGCAACAGTGTCTTCTGTGCCCACGTTCAGTCTCTTCCTTTGGGTCTTTTTGAAAGACTGAAACATCAGGGTGTTAAGCACAGTCAAAGGCTTCATTAACATCCAGTTAACATTAGGGAGGGGGGGGAGAAGGAGGACAGTTTCTAAGAAATGTCTGAATAATGGTGTGCTGGATTCCAGAATTTGCTTGAGGGAGGGAGAACGTCCTTACCAAGAACAAACTCTGACGTGGCTGGTGATGTCAGAGCCGTGCTTGGCGTCCTCTGAACCTGCCTGGCAGAGGAAAGCTGTTTTACAGTGCAAGTCTGAGAACTGTGGCTTTCAGTCCTTGAATGAGAGACTGCCGTCTGTCACTTGAGAGAGTTGGGGGGGGTTCAGCCTGGAGAAGAGAAGGTTTTGGGGAGACCTTGGAGCTCCTTCCAGTCCCTCAAGGGGCTCCAGGAGAGATGGGGAGGGACTCTGGATGAGGGAGGGGAGCCCTAGGAGGAGGGGGAAGAGGGGAAATGGAGCTGAAAGAGGGGAGATGGAGCTGAGATGTGGGGAAGAACTTGTTTGGTGTGAGGGTGGTGAGAGCCTGGCCCAGGTTGCCCCGAGAAGCTGTGGCTGCCCCATCCCTGGAGGGGTTCAAGGGCAGGTTGGAGGGGGCTTGGAGCAACCTGCTCTGGTGGGAGGTGTCCCTGCCCAGGGCAGGGGGTGGCACTGGGTGGTCTTTAAGTTCCATTCCAACCTTCCATTCTGTGATTCTACAATTCTCAGTAAGAACTCAGCATTTTTGGGTGGATCTTTCAATACCCTACACTGCTCTAGAGAGCAGAGCTTCAAAAGCTGGATGAAAAAACCCACGTGGTTGCACCTTTACGGTGGCGTTGTGTTTTGCTTTATGCTGGTCCAACATCGGTGAGACCTTAACGAAACCCATTGTCTTCCCAGGTATCCCAGAATTAACAAGGAAACCCTGCTGCCCATAGCCAAGGACGTGTCTTACTCAGGAGAGAACACGGAGTGCTGGTACCCCCCGGGCCATGGAGACATCTATGCCAGCTTCTACAACTCCGGTCTGCTGGACAACCTCATCGCAGAGGGGAAGGAATATATTTTTGTATCCAATATCGATAACTTGGGTGCCACCGTGGACCTTTACATTCTTAACCACCTTATGAACCCACCCAACGGCAAACGCTGTGAATTTGTCATGGAAGTCACCAACAAAACCAGGGCGGATGTGAAGGTAACGGGAGATGGGTTGGGCACGTCCGCCTGCGAGTGCCTGGCGTGTCGGTGGTGAACACCTCACCCTCTCCTCCCCGCGCGTGAATCCAGACCACGCGTTAAATCTTCTTGCAGCTATTTTGGGCACCGTTTCACACGTCGGCTGCTGTCTAATTTGAGAGGCACAAAACTCAGCGAGGTTCATAGAATCATAGAATTGTCCAGGTTGGAAGGGACCTCCAAAGGTCATCTAGTCCAACCTCCCCGCAGTCAGCAGGGACACCCCCAACTAGACCAGGTTGCCCAGGGCTTAATTGAGCCTCACCTTGAATATCTCCAGGGATGGGGCCTCAACCACCTCCCTGGGCAACCTGTTCCAGTGCTCCACCACCCTCACAGTGAAGAACCCTCTCCTAATCTCCAGTCTCAATCTGTTCCCCTCCAGCTTGAAGCCATTGCCCCTCGTCCTATCACTACAGGCCTTTCTAAACAGGTTCTCCCCATCTCTCCTGTAGCCCCCTTCAGGTACTGGAAGGCTGCTATTAGGTCTCCCCGGAGCCTCCTCTTCTCCAGGCTGAACAACCCCAGCTCCCTCAGCCTGTCCTCGTAGCAGAGGTGCTCCATCCCCCTGATCATCCTTGTGGCCCTCCTCTGGACCCTCTCCATCAGGTCCATGTCCTTCTTATATTGAGGGCTCCAGACCTGCACACAATACTCCAGGTGAGGTCTCACCAGAGCAGAGTAAAGTGGCAGAATCACCTCTCTTTATGAAGTTTATGAAGTTTGAATTCACGGAACAAATTGTCTGTAGGTTCTGGGCAGCGGCAGAGGAGGACAGCCTGGGCTCGCCCCGTTACTCAACACAGGGTGGGAGTCACAGCCTCCTTCCCTTCTCCAAACTGTCACCGGGGCGGGAGGGAGAGAAGTCTGGGGACAGTAGTGTCAAGGTGTGCATTGCACAACTGGGCCTGGTGTGGCTGCCAGCCTGCTCCTGCCCTTTTTTTTTTTTTCTTGTTTTTTGGTACAAAGTCCAGGTCTGACAACTTGTCAGATGGTTGTGGGACACGTCAAATACTTCTCACCTGCAGCAATTTGTCACCTACCTGGACTTTGCCTCTATGCTTTGCAATAGGAGGATGGGGAGGAAACGTGGGTTTCTCTGGATTCATTAGATGTTAAGAAAGCTCTGACTTTTAGTCCTGAAAAGCCACAGAGATGCTCTGTGAGAATCCAGTCCGGGTTACTGAAGGACCGCTTGTTTCTCCAGCAGGTGCCACGAACACACAACTACTAGATGTAATTTAGATATTTTTCTCTGTAATCTAGTGTAAGCGCTGCTGGAGGTGACTTTTGACAATGGCAGCACTCGTGAAAGCTTCTCAGCAACTTTTGTGAGAAGAATTAACTGTCTCTGAGTGCTGAAACATGATTGTTTGATGGTTCTGACTGTGCTGTAAACGTACTCTATAACTAGTAACTTGGTAGTAACCTGTTTTCACTGAGGTTCTTCTTTAAATGCCAACAAAACGGTGTGTCTCTTTGGGGTGAGGGGGGAAGGTCTCACGAACGGGGACTTAAATCTTCTTCTCTGCCCCGGGCAGGGTGGCACGCTCACGCAGTACGAGAACAAGCTGAGGCTGGTGGAGATCGCTCAGGTCCCGAAAGCGCATGTGGATGAGTTCAAGTCCGTGTCCAAATTCAAAATCTTCAACACCAACAACCTGTGGATCGCTCTGTCCGCCATCAAAAGGCTGCAAGAGAAAAACGCTATTGACATGGAGATCATCGTTAACCCAAAGGTAAATAATTGGCCGGGAAGGTTTTGAGAGGAAACGAGCTCAGAAGAAGGGGTTTGTTTCTGGGCAGCTGAACGGGGAGCGCTGTCTCCCACCAGGAGCTGCTTTGTTGGTAAAGTCCAAGCTGGGACCGAGGGCTCCTCTCTGGTTCCTGGTGGTGCTTCCTGCTGGTTTGAGTTTACTCTGGTTTTCTCTTCCAGACGTTGGATGGAGGCTTGAATGTTATCCAGCTGGAGACGGCCGTTGGGGCCGCCATCAAGAGTTTTGAGAACTCTCTGGGGATAAACGTCCCTCGCAGCCGTTTCCTGCCCGTTAAGACCACGTCAGACCTCCTGCTGGTGATGTCGAATTTGTACAGCCTTAATGCTGGGTCTCTAACCATGAGCGAGAAGCGGGAATTTCCAACAGTGCCTCTTGTCAAACTGGGAAGTTCTTTCACAAAGGTAAACGCATGTAATTCTGCTTCGTTTTTTTTTTAATCTCTCTTTGAATCAAAACTCAGTCCACAGCAATAAATCAGTTAAAAGTGAGGTTTATCTCCCGTTGCCCGTCTGGGCGTTCCCTTTTGCTTTTTCTAAAGAACCCTTGGGCTGTTAGAACACAAACTACAAGCCACAAATGGCTTTTTAAACTGTCTCTTCTCCTCTCCTCTCCTCTCTCCGCCAGGTTCAAGATTACCTGCGGAGGTTTGAAAGTATTCCAGACATGCTGGAGCTGGATCATCTCACGGTTTCCGGCGATGTTACATTTGGGAAGAACGTTTCATTAAAGGTGAGTTGTGTCATTGGGCTGCTCCGTGGTCACTGCTCCTGCCAGGAGGGAGTTCAGTCACTGGCCCAAGGCTTGCAGAGGCTGAGACTGACCCTGATGGGGGAGGGCAAGGTGTTGCTGCTAGAGCCGCTTCTCAGTGTAGTCCCACTGAGGGCTGATGTTCATCTTTAAACCTGGAAGCACCACCTACTCCATGATTCTGTGTTCAAAACAGCGTGTACACCTTTGTCCTTCTGCTCTGCGAGCCGTCCCAGGCTGGCCTTGCAGCCACAGTTCCCTTCCCATCAATTGGGCTTCTCAATTTATTAGGAAATGTTCACAGAATCACAGAATGATCAGAGTTGGAAGGGACCTTAAAGATCACCAAGTTCCAACCCCCCTGCCCTGGGCAGGGACACCTCCCACCAGACCAGGTTGCTCCAAGCCCCCTCCAACCCGGCCTTGAACCCCTCCAGGGATGGGGCAGCCACAGCTTCTCGGGGCAACCTGGGCCAGGCTCTCCCCACCCTCACACCAAACAAGTTCTTCCCCACATCTCAGCTCATCTGATGAAGCTGAGCAAGTTGCTTTCTCTCTCAAATGCTTCCCTGGGGCCTGGCCATTCCCCGCAGAGTCCCTGGTATCTTGTAGCCTGGTACTGACAGTTATTTCCAATATTGCTGCTTTAAAACTTCTCCTGGGGGTTGGAGGTTGGGGTGGGGAAACCAAAGTCTCTGGAGAAGCAGAACAACTGCAGGCATCCAGACTGGGGCCGCGTTACTGCTCCTCCAGCCACCGCTTGGGCCAAGTCTAGGGTTTCTAAAAAGCTTCTTTTTTTACCTTTTGTGTGCCTGCAGGGAACGGTGATCATCATCGCCAACCACGGGGACAGGATCGACATCCCGGCGGGGGCGCTACTAGAGAACAAAATCGTGTCTGGCAACCTGCGCATCCTGGACCACTGAGCTGGCGCCGGGGGCGGCCTCGGGCCGGAGGAAGAACCTTTTAAGCGTTAGAATCCTAAGTACACAGAGGGCCTATGCTTCGTCACCTTCACAGTACCCTGCAGTATTAATTTAAAATTAATTTCTCTGGCTTATCTTTTTAAGCAGACAACACGTAACGCCAATGGATGTGCGTAAGTAACGCTTCAGTCCTTAAAGAGATTCCGTAACTCAGTTCATACAACCTTGAAGTGCAATACTGTCCCTCTCGAGGTCAGAGGGACAGATCTCCTTTGCTGAGAGGTGGAGAGCTCGCCTCTGGCGTTCCGGTAGTTTGGAACGGCTCGTACCTGCAGACCCCAAGCTGGGCAGCAGAACGGGAGGGACACCGCCGGCGGCCACTCGGGTGGCTTTTCATGAAGGCACCGTTGAAAAAAACCCAAAGTTCCACCACCGCACAACGGGCTGTTAAACCCCCTCTATCCCACATGCTCACGACTCTCCCAGGCTCCAGCCCTCTGCCTCCCCTTCCCACCCCTCCCAAACCTGCAGTGGGATGTCCCACCCCACCCCACCCCTAGGCTGAGGTGTCCCACCTCCAGCTCTGTCTTGGGGGAACAGGAACCCGCTGCTCTTCCAAACTCGCCCAAAGAAATCTAATACTTGAGAAAAAAATGCCTCAGTATCCACGTGTGGTGTTTGCTTTTTCACATCCCATTGAAGACTGGATCTCCTGGTAGTATCTTAATCCTTCATCTGCCCTCTTTTTTTTTTTTTTTTTTTTCTCCAATAAATGGATCATGTTGACTACACCCACGTCCATATTGTCACAGCCATGTATGTTAATTTATCTTCTCTTGAGTCATTTCTAAATTTGTACAGGAATGGAAACCCCCTGTTCCCCATCGCTCTTGACTTCTTAATGTTTCTCTTGTATTTACATGCAGATGACTTTATTTTATAAGCTTAGTATAACACTGGTATGTATCATTAAAAGAAGTTGGTCTTTAAAAACAACTGTGATGGTAGAGCTTTATTTTTGGACCCTTTGTGACGCTGAAGGAAACCCCAGGCCCACCCTCCCCTATAAAAGGGATGGCAAAAAGGTCTTAAAAGGCAGTATTTAAAAAAAAACAACACCTCTTTGATTAATTCATTTCAGTTGCACCTTCTTTAACGGTGCAACCTTTGAGAAGGAGCCTAAAAACTTTAAAATTCTTCCTGCCCTTGTTTTCTGTGGCCTCCTCTGTCTCGGTCCATGCGTGGTCGTTGTCCTTGTCCTTACCAGCCCCCCACCTGCCTTCCTGATGCCACCAGCAGCCCCTTGTCACCTCCTCACTGCTCCCGGGGGTGGTTCCACAGCTCCATCCCGCAGGTCACGGCTTCGGTCAACCCACAATTGATTAAAAAAAAAATCATCATCATTTCCGCTGGTAGCTTAGAGCCCAGCAGAAAGAAATCCCCTGAAAGAGGACTGCTCCCTAACAAAGCTGAATCCTATATGCAAGCAATCAAAAGACATTTATTTATATAAAGTTCTGTAAAAAAATAAAATTTTAGAACATCTGTTTCGTAGAGAGAAAAAAAAACAAACAAAAAAACAAACCAAAAATGTTTTCTACAGAGTTCCGAGGGCAGCTTTGGGTACGGTACTATCATTAAATAAGGTGGGACGCCGGGTGAATTTCATTGCACTAGAAGAAATGCAAAGCATCTTTTTTTAATATAAAGATATACAGAGCATTCTAAGACAACTACAGCTGTGTTACAGCTATGTGTTCTTTTGGATTTGGTCCAAAGAAACCTGAGTCTGTTTCCAGAGAGAATGAAAAAAAAAAAACAACCAAAAACCAACAACAAAAAAAACAACAACAAAAAAAATCAAACCAAAAAAAACCCAACCCCATTGCACAGACAGCTGATCACTTGGGTTTTTTCTTGCTGAAGGACACTGAGAAGATGGTTCCTCCACAGCTCCTTCTGTGTCTCCTTCCCACCCACTGTCAATGCTGCCCTCTTCTTGGACTCCGGGCTTAAATAGTCACCTGGCGGCGGCGGCGGCGCTGCCGAGAAGAAAGCGGGTCTGTTGTCAGAGCCAAGCCTGGACCATCATCACCTCTTCTGCTCCCAGATCTCAGCCATGTTTAGGTCTAAGTTGTTAAGGCCTTTCAGAGCTTGAAGGTTCCCAGTGTAAAAAGCTACGTCTGAAGTCACCAGGCTGCAGGGAGACACCGGGAAAAAATGAGGGATGCCAGGTCTACAGAAATCAAATGACAAGTCCCAAAACAACTTGGAAAGAATCAGGCATCTAAAACTTCCATCCCCTGGCTGTAAATCTCAGCTTACCCTGACCTACACCCCTATCGCAACTCACAATAGGAATTATTGCAATTATTATTAATTAGCTTCGGTATCCTAGAAGGTTAACGGAAAAGCAACCAAATCACATTGTAACATTTACATGGAGTTAAAAATCATAGAATCATAGAATGGGGACCTTAAAGATCATCCAGTTCCAACCCCCCTGCCCTGGGCAGGGACACCTCCCACCAGAGCAGGTTGCTCCAAGCCCCCTCCAACCTGCCCTTGAACCCCTCCAGGGATGGGGCAGCCACAGCTTCTCGGGGCAACCTGGGCCAGGCTCTCACCACCCTCACACCAAACAAGTTCTTCCCCCCATCTCAGCTCCATCTGCCCTCTTTCAGGGTCAACCCCTTCCCCCTCCTCCCATGGCTCCCCTCCCTGATCCAGAGTCCCTCCCCATCCCTCCTGGAGCCCCTTGAGGGACTGGAAGAGTCTCTAAAGAGTTGAAGCAGAAGTCAGAATAAATTGGACAGGAAGAAAAACTCTTCTTTCCATAATTTTTTATGAACTTCCTTCTCTGGCTTCTTCCACCCATGACAATTCTTCCTCACCTGCAGGTTGGCCAACTAAACATCACCTGTACCACGCTGCAAATAACCATCCCTGGGTGACAAAGAATGATTATAAACCCCACCGTTTTGGGGAAAATCCAACTTAAAGCAGGATTCAGCCTGCGAGAGGCTTTCCCAGGAGGTGGGGGACACTCGTCACCTGTTTTGGTGACGGAGGGTTGGGCTGGGGCAGGAAAGGGGAAAAAGCTCTGTCAGCATCCCCTCCCTTTCAAATCAAACGATTTCTGTAGAGAAGCTGCCCGTTACACGCACAAAATACCGCTTTTTTCCCCCCTATTTTTCCTTTGCTAGAGCCATGAGTCATCCCCCGCAGCTCCAAACTGCTTCACGAATCCCACAATTTCCTTGTGAGTTAAACTGTGGCCGCTGCTGCTGTTACACAACAGGAGAAGCAGCCATCCAGGAACCGAGGAAGCCCAAGAGATGCCCCCTATCAGCACGCTGATGGCCTCCTCGTTAGGACAGGAAGGCACAAGTCACGGCCTTCCCTGTGAGAAACCTCCAAAACGGGACATTCCCAACCCCAATCACGACTCTTGTGCAGGAGACAAACCCCGCTTACTTAAAATTAAGCAGTAAGAAAAAAACCAGACAACCCCCAGAGTGTCCCAACGTACCCATTGAGAGGTCCTCCATCGTTGACCACGTTGAGGTGGGCCAGCTGCCTCTTCAGGTGAAGCTTGTAGCTTGCATTAATTCTTAAAAACAACATCTGGAAGAAAGCAGAGGAGGAGAGTAAGGAAGGGACAGTCCCCCGGCTCCTGCAGAGAGGAAATACAGCTCCAGCACCATCAACCACCACCCTCCGGGATTGTTTTTGCAATTCATGTGATTTATTTTTATTTTATTTTTTCCCCCTTCTGCCACTCCTTCTGCCTCCTAATCGTTCTGGCACACACAGTAGGTGATAACACACAGGACAGGGCACACCCTCACTTAGCTGTTATGGGTTGCACTCAGAGGACACACTCTTTGGACTAGGAATTTAGGATAGAAGATTTAAAAAAAAAAAAATAAAAAAAAAATCTCTTTCCTGTACTATAACCACTTAAAGTTTTTTCCCCCAAGAGAAACATGAAAACCAGCATGAAGGGACTCTTTAATTAAAGGGCAAAAGAGAAACTACAGCTCGGTGTCTCCAGTGATGGCATCAGTCACAGAATCACAATGGAGTTGGAAGGGACCTCTGGAGATCATCCAGTTCAACCCCCTGCCAGAGCAGGGCCACCCAGAGCAGGTTGCACAGGAACGTGTCCAGGTGGGTTTGAATGTCTCCAGAGAAGGAGACTCCACCACCTCCCTGGGCAGCCTCTTCCAGGGCTCTGCCACCCTCACCGGAAAGAAGTTCCTCCTCATCTTTAGGTGGAACTTCTTATCTTCAAGTTTGTGCCCATTTCCTCTTGTCCTATCCCTGGGCACCACCAGAAAAAGACTGGCCCCATCTTCCTAACACTCTCCCTTTAAGTATCAGATCCCCCCTCAGCCTTCTCTTCTCCAGACTAAAAAGACCCAAGTCCCTAAGCCTGTCCTCATAAGGGAGACGTTCTAGTCCCCTCATCATCTCTGTAGCCCTCTGCTGTCCCCTCTCCAGCAGTTCCCTGTCCTCTGGAACTGGGGGGCCAGAAACTGGTCCCAGTGCTCCAGATGGGGCCTCCCCAGGGCAGAGCAGAGGGGCAGGATGACCTCCCTCCACCTGCTGCTCACACTCTTCCTGATGCCCCCCAGGATGCCATTGGCCTTCTTGGCCACAAGGGCCCATTGTTGGCTCATGGTCATCCTGTTGGCCACCAGGACTCCCAGGTCTTTCTCCTCAGAGCTGCTCTCCAGCAGGTCAGCCCCAACCTGTCCTGGTGCAGGGGGTTATTCCTCCCCAGGTGCAGCACCCTATGCTTGGCTTTATTGAAGTTCATGAGGTTCCTCTCTGCCAATTCCAGCACCAATTCCCGAACTGAGAGCTCCCCTCTCCAGACCATGAAAAGGCAGCTCAAAAATGCTGGAATGGCTCCGTTCTTCTCCCATGTCTCATCCTTTTCCCTGCACGTCCAACCGCTTCGGTACAGACCGCGCTGCCCGAGCGTGACCTTCACGTCAACCCAACACCTTTCACGTGTGGGTTCCACAAAGATTCAAAAGAGAACTTCCCCCCTCCCCAAGATGAAGCAAGAAAGTCTGGCTTGTTATTGACTGCAAGAGCAGCATCACATGAACCTCCCGAATAAGACTCACCTGAGTTTGCTCCTCGGGAAGGAGATCATATATAGCTTCGTGCATCTTTGCCATCTGCTTGCAGATATTCCTGAAGCAGGCCGAGGGAACGGGAGCTTTCACTTCGTACTGGAAATAAAAACCACAACCCGTTACCCCTCTCCACCACTTTTTAAAACAGTTTAGACAGGAGGGTTTCCGACGGCCTCCTGAAGCCCTGCACTGCTAATGACACCGTCAATCGAGGTTCATTTAGCAAATCTCAAATTGAAACAGTGGCTGGGTGTGATCCGATTGAGCCAAGGACTCACATCCTACAACCTTGTAGCGCTTCTTGCTTTGCAGGCAAAGAGGAACCTTCGGAGTGGTGGGAAATGGGAGGGTTTCCCAACTTGAGGTGTTCCTCTCTGTTAGTTTGAATCCCTTCTCTTTGCTCGTTACTTTGTGGGTTTCCATTCCAGAGAATCACAGAATCCCATGGGGTTGGAAGGGACCTCTGGAGGAGATCATCTAGTCCAACCCCCTGCCAGAGGAGGTCCACCCAGAGCAGGTTGGACAGAATGGTGTCCGGGCAGGTTTGGAATGTCTCCAGAGAAGGAGACTCCACCACCTCTCTGGGCAGCCTCTTCCAGGGCTCTGCCACCCTCACAGGAAACAAGTTCCTCCTCACGTTCAGATGAAATTTCCCCATGTTCCAGCTTGTGCCCATTGCACTGGGCACCACTGAGAAGAGTCTGGCCCCATCCTCTTGCCACCCACTCCTTAGATATTGCTCAGCATTGATGAGGTCCTCTCTCAGCCTTCTCCAGGCAGAACAGCCCCAGGTCCCTCAGCCCTTCCTCAGCAGAGAGATGTTTTAGTCCCTCATCATCTTTG